GGAAAGAGTTACTAAAATCTTCTTGAACCTTCACAAACACAAGACTATTGATGTTCGCCATAAAGATAGTGGCTGAATAAGGATTATGCAATTGAGACTGGAAATTTCGAGATCATACCTTTACTTGAAGCCTTAAAAACTTCACATAATCCACAATTTCATCAAGCATGGCGGCTCGATCCGTCTGCACAAAAAAATTATGCATCAGTGATAGAGGATGGATTGAGAGAGAAGCAACCGTCATGCTTTGTGAACCTTCCTTTCCTTTGATCAACCAAAACCACTCATTCTATAGCCATATTCCTAGAACAATACACCTATAAATCCCCACCTATAAACTAGAGGAATCATGCTCCATCAGAACCTTACACGTGCCATATGTAAAAAAATTAATTTTCTTTTCCCTTCTATTACTTCTCGCTTGATCCATTTTTTGACTTTCAAATACACAGTTCATTCTCATTTCCATCACAGCAATTGATTGGAAGCCAAAAGTTGGAAAAAGACTTGAAAGTGTAGGAGTCAGGACACAGTTGAACCTATCAAAAATACAAAATATCCTGTATCCTTGTGGACAGTCAAGTCCAGCTAGATCAAACATATGCACGGAAGGAAATCTATACTCAGATGTGATTTCTTGGATATACCAACAAATATTCTGTTAAATCCATAATCCCCAAACAGTTCTGAGATGAATACAACAAACTTCTGGCAAATGGCCAAATGCTCATATAATTTATGTCAAGGTGCTCAAGTCATATTAATGCATTTGCCACCAGCAGAAGAGGAATCTAATCAATTATCATAGATGCGCACGGTTGAGGCAAGCTTGATCACAGACCTAAAATTAATCATCATGTGTAACTCTAGCAGTTTCAGCAAAATTAACCATTTTAACTACATGACACTATATTGAGTTTTTCATATTCCATTTGAACACATACAATTTTTATATATTCGTTGATTCCCAATTTGTAGAAAGGTTAATTGTTAAAACTTTATAAGCAATTTTTTTTAACACAACTGAAACTCCACTGCATTGGCAAACTGCAGTCTGATGCTCAAACTCCCTCTTCCTTGTCAAATAGGGCAGCTTTTTTATAATGGGCTCAGTAGTAGGACTCTGTTACAACCACGCATTGCCACATATTTAGCACCTAGGAGGTGATAAGTACCAACAAGTAGAAAGCAGTAGATATTCGGTCTTGTCCAGCTTGTTTGAATATCTTGGAAGGCCCATAATGTGCTGTAATTAAGGCTGCAAGACAAGTCATTGCCACTGCCAGATAATCCAGCATAACTACAAGGCCAACCACCATGAAGTAAAACTCTTACAAACCACCACCAACCATCCCTATGGCGGATTTCTTTACTGAAAACAGACCAGAGATTTAAAACAATAAAGTTGTCATAGTATTTAAAATCATTAACCTCAACTTGACAAGCCCTACTAATTTTCAAACAGCTTGATTCAGGAAAAGAACTATCCACTTGGTCAAAAACAAATTCATTTGTACTTCATTAATCGTTTAATGTTTTTTCCTTCCAGCAAAAGATGCAAGAATGAATTGCCAAATGCTTTACCTGGAGAGCAGAAAGCAACCCCATTCTGCAAGAAAAATTATGAAATTATGCAAGGGGAAAGACATTGACCTTGTTCACACTAGGAACCAGCTCCTGCAATGCCCTGATTCTTTCAGCTATTCTTTCTCTGCGCAACTGTGACAAAAGGGGAAAAAAGATCAAGAACAACAGTGCAATTTCTATGGGGAAAGACAAGTGAAATCTGAAAGATGAGAAAAGAACAATGAATTCAAGAGCCAGCACTCAAGTCCTCTCTAAACCTTCAAAACATCATAATATGAGCCTAACAATCCTTCTTGATGTATAAAGGTTGTGATAGTCAAAATCACATGGAAACATGCCCATCAAAAGAAGAGTATATGGATGCTTTTCAATTCAACACAATGTAATCCATGTCAAAACCTTAAGATAAGTAGGTTTCCAGCAAGATTGATTGTAATGATGAAACTAGTCAGTTTGAAACCTCAACTCTCAGTGAGATAACTCCCTCAAACCAAAGCATTAGTGTTGTGACATTTTAATAAGATCATAAACATCACACTGATGGCCTTCTTGCCAGATTTTTTTTATATATATTTTAGCCCTTTTTACCAGGTTTTCCAGAGAGATATGGATTAAATTTATCATCTTATATTCATAAACACGGCATTTTAGGCATGCTAACCATGAACCAGCTACATTTTGAATACTTGCATCGATTCTTCACTGACACCACTTACTGATCAAACAACAAAAAGCCTCATTTAAAATACAATTGCCAGGACTCAACCCAATTAAATCTTAATAAAAAATAATAATTTGAACTTTGAACATTAATCAGAGCCTATATTTTACTCCTTAACATGAATGTTCAAGTTGCAGTCTCTCTAGTTCTCCCATTTTACTTTATAGTTGGTAAGGAACAATTTGTATCCTTTATTTTTCTAGAGCCATGTGCAGTCTTGACAATATTATATCATTCCATGGTTACCACTATTGTGCATGCTATATTAAGCTATTTCCATAGTTAACAATATCATGCATACTACATCAACCTTACCCGTTCAGCAATACTATGAGGATCTGTGGCCTGACCTCGCCTAGCACGGACCCTTGGGCGCATTGCTGGTGGATGTGTAGCTGCAGTGACTGTTGTGGGCATTGGTTGACCATGAAAAACCTGCAAAAATATGAGAATCTTACCAAAGACAGATTACAGTAAAGGATAGGCTATTTCACCAGCTCCACTAAATCCTCCAATCCCAACAACATAAAGTTGCAAAAAAAGGAAACCAAATATGTATGATTGAAACAATAAACTGCCTGACAATGGTGGATCAAGTGAGAAAAGATAACAACAGACATTAAAAATCAAAGGTATTGTGACAACGCCAGAGAGGAAAGAAACGGTAGGTATAATTTGGCAATTCCTAGAAAATATTGACTAATCTAGATATTGGAATACATCAGCTAATTATGGTGCTTGTGCATAGATTGACAGTAATTTGAAAGAATATAGCATATATGACCGTGCAATGAATGTTTTTCACCACTAGGATTGGACTACAACAGATCAAATCCAGATCACTCACGTGAGAGGTGTATCCTGACCAACCACTACACTGTTACAATTCGTTACTAGATAAACCAAAGAAAATATATGATTCTTATTAAAGCAGAAAAACTGATTCAATTTAACGTCATCTGAAAACTTGAGTGGATTTCACTTGAGCAAAATCAAGTTTTCTTCTGTTCTCAATTTCAACTATTACACACAATCCCTGCTCCTTCACTGTTCCTTGCATACCAACTTCAAAAGCTGACAATTTCACAATTAGGCAATTGTCCAATCCAGCAAAATCAAACCCCACAACACCCCAGACGTTTGACTTCTCAAGAAATCATTTGTCAACTAAAAAATATCCAATCAGCCAGCTATAATGTTGAACTGGTAAAGATCTACTACAGCCCCCGACTGCTATTTCCACTGTATCACTTAATTTTCCTTTACTGACCATGATCATACAAAAAGAAAAAAGAAATTATACCTTAGAAGGAGAAAGAAAACTATAGATTAGGAAACATTTGTATGTATATCAAACTAATCAGTCTTGGCCACTCAAGGGAGGACCGACAACAACCAGCTTCCTATTCTTTTCCTTTGTCAAAATACACATCTTGGAATCTCACTACAGTAACCTTCAAAGATCAACCACCTACTTTTATGTCTCTATATGAATTCCTTTTTCTCCCTCGCGCTTTCTCTACACTCTAATGGAAAGGGCTACAAGCATTGAAAGGGAAAAAAATGATTAATTAAGAGAAATTAAACTGGCTTTTGAATTGCACGTCTTCAATTTCTAAATTAATAGTTTTAATAAGATCACTATTTTCCTTTTTTAAAAAACTTTAAAAATAATAATTTCGCTCCAAGGAAAACTAAATTAATACTGCAAACAAAAAATTACTTTCACTCACATTTCTAACTCTACCATCAACAATATCATCACGGAACCGATTCCCACTCCCGGACGCCTCCTCGGGCTTCAGAAACCCTCCCTTCCCCTGCTCCAAGCTAAGCCCCAGCGGAAACCCGTGAAATCCCGCGCCTCCACCTCCAGGAGCACCGCCGAGTGCGGAGATGTGGCCGGAACCATCACCGGAGCTAAGCTGAAGCATCATAGGAGCTTGAGCAGAAGCAGCGCCAGCCAAGCCAGCGTCAGCTCCAACCAAGCCAGCTTCAGCTGGAGCAAAATTAGGAATCCCGAGAATTTCCTGCAGGAAATCATCGGTTGGAGGTTCGGTTGGGTTGTTGGCCATTTGGAATAGGTCTGGGAGGAGTCAAAGTGAGTGGAGATAGCGAGTTAGGGATTCAAAAGAGCATCCATTTACATGAAAAACCGTTTTAATTGGAAGGTTTACGGCATGTTTGGGGCATGAAAGATTTGGCAGCAGTCGATTTCAACTACTTAAATTGTGGCCAGATCTCGTGCTTTGAAAGAACTGTACTCCAAAGGATTGAATTCAACTGCTTACAGGTATGTACGGAAATCAATTCTCTTTTATAATCGCACGAGAGGAGGTGTGATTTATTGGAAGAATTCTGGCCTGATAACTCTTAACATGCACAGTGCCTCGACTACCCCTCCATATAAGAATCTCACTCGCGCAACACATTAGTCTCCTGTTTGCGCTCCTGTTTTGTTATGGGTTTTCTTGTTGCGGTTTTTTTAAAAACAATTGTAGTTTTAATAAAAGTATTTTTAGTTGATATATATATATATATATATATATATATATATATATATATTACGAGATTTTACATGAACAGAAGTCCTCACAAATAAAAGAATAGATTATCTTAATTTTTATAAAATCAAAGCAATTATGTATAAAGAATGAAAATTAGTAGAGCATTAAAATATCTCTTGTGGATAACTTTACTATTTGACTTGAGCTCATTGACGTTGCTTTTAAAATATACATGTTTTTTATTTCTCATTATTATGTTATGTACGATTTAAAATACGTGGCATTGCCGTTATTCTGACTCGGGGGAAGTTTTTTTCCAATCAATTTAGAGTTAGATTTGATTGTAATTGTTTTTTTAAATAATTTATATTTAAAAATATAAAAAAATTAAGAATTAAGAATTAAAATAAAAAATTAAATTTTTTAAAAGGGTCTTTTGAAATGTAAAAATAAAAAATTTTTATAAATTATTTTTTATATCAATGTATCTAAATAATTCAAAAATATAAAAAATTTGAAAATTTTAAAAAATATAGTGTTTATCACGACTTTAAAGAAATTTTTATTTTGATTCTATTTAATTGTTAGTTTTTTTAAAACAATTAAAATAATATTAATTTATTTTTATTTAAAAAAATCAACTTAAATAAATATGTACAATTAATAACTAAATTATTATAATAAGTTGACTTTCAAATCCAAGTTTAGTAAATACAATTATATCATATTTATAATCATGTAAATTCCTCTCTCTTTTATTGCTTTTACAATAGAGCTGATGTCAAGATGACTCCCACGAGCTGTATTGTGAATTTCAGATGTTTGTCGATGAAGATAAGATTGACCGAAAGGGATCAAGGACAAGGATACACTGGTTAGGAAAATACGTACTCTAAAAGGGTAATATAATAAAATAATATATTTCAATTAATCTCTGAACATTTCAAATTACACAACTCAATTCGATTACGATGACTTGGAATCTGTTCCAAACGCAAGAATTTAATTGGTTAATAAATTGATCTCTACTTTAGTAACAGGAACGAGTTCATCTCACGAAGGGAACTGGTTCCGTATACCTTTTCGGGGATTATTTGCATTTCTTCTCTTTTTAGCTAAGTACCTCGGCTTTCAAAGTTTCAGCTTTTCGCTTTGCTTTGGCTTGCTTTGTAATACTGCTGGTAGCTGCTGGTGCCTGGCGAGGAGCCCTGAGAGCGAAGAGACAGGGGGGGCAAAAAGGAGTGGCTTTTATCCTGATTTAAAATGTCGTGCTTTATGTAAAGGGGCCGCGTTAATTTACATTTCTAGCCACTTTCCATTCTGCTTGGGTTTATCGACAAACGGTATCGTTTTTCTTGTGCTCGTGGACCCACCCAGCAAACTACATGCTCAGTTCCTTTCCGGACAGGGACGGCCACGGTGTGTATATATATATATATATATATATTTGAAGTATATGTATGTATATTATATAGTATTAAAAAATCTAAATATCCTAAAATTCTTATAGCTAAACTAAAGAAAAAAAAAAGAAAAAAAAAAGAGAGAGAAGCGATGCTTATAATATTCATTTAATGTTCCTATATAGCAACCCTTTCTCTCGAGCTTTTTTATCTTTTTTAATCACATATAATTTTCTCATTCTGAATTACATGTAGTTTTACCTCTAGTATTTTATTTTTATCAGGGTTCGTCTTTATTTCATTAGGAAGAGCAGAATCAGTGCTAGACCTCTCTTTGCTTCACAATGAAAGCGCGCCTTCATTTGAACAATAGATGCGGGCATCTATCCCTCACTCTCATGCAGGCCTCTTTCCAGGCCAGGCCAGTTTACTCCGTGAGAGCTGGGCGGGGCCTCTGTCAATAGACACCTTTGTGGATGTGGAGTCTGGTGCCCTAGAAACCATTACGTCAAAGACTTCCAAAAAGAAATGATTTTTTTCTTTTAATGCACGGAACAGCGGACGGGGACATGCACAAATGAGTGAAATCAAATAGATCATCCGCGTTGACCGGAAATGTTTCAGATGGCGGAACTCGGTTGCAGAATTTAGAGGGGCGAGGTATTTTTTCTTTTCGTTTTTGAGATCTGTAGAGGAGCGAGCAAGGTCAGGGAACGAGAACACAGGAAAAATGAGGCAACGTCAAGAATCAAGCAGCAGTGCCAGCGCAACGATCTTATCCTTTATATGAATAAATGATACACAATGAACCGTCAGGCATTGGAAGGTTAATTTCCCACTAACAAGATGGTGGGGACAATGAAGGTCGGAGAAAATCATTGTTTCAAAGTAATCTTGAATACAAAGTTGAAGAAATCACAACAATAATGATAAACATAGTAAATGAAATCAAGTTGGGTAGCCACTTATTGCATCATTTGACAAGCAATCATACTTTCTTGGATTCTTGCCTAACACATTTGAAATCTTTAACGAACAGGTACAACTCCACAATTCATGATAGGCAGAAATTGAACAATACTTCTTGAGGTCCATACAGCTAAGTACTGGATTGTTGGAATACATCCAAAAGCTTGGCTGATCATCCTACCGTATCTACATGTTTAGATAGATTCTCAACAGCTCCATCAGGCAGTTTTACAATTATATGTCGCACAGCAAGAGTTGGAGAAATTGAACTAGAATCATTTGGCATTTTTTAAGTTTAACTGGCACAAAGAATAATCAATGGGAAGTACAAAATCTACAAGTAAAATGGCTTATTCAAAAAAGATAAATCCATGCTTATATACAAAAACCTGTGGAAGTCTATATAATAGGTTGGTTTCCTACGCACATAAATTACTTGCAGAGTACTTATTGTCAATCCTTGCTAAGAAACAGCCCGTATTTTCCAAGGCTGCCATTGGAAAGCCTCAATCATCTTAAGTTTCATCCTTGATCTTGTTTGAAAATCAAGCATCCTTTTTTAGAACAGTATCGGCAACTGGTGACATTTCCAGCAAAAACAAGAGCCTATTATTAAATGCTACCTCTCATCATATTTGATCTGATTTGTAGGCTGTGCGAAAAAATCTTTGGCACTGCGAGCCACCTCAGCCTCCAGTATAGCCTCCAGCACAATGTCAGATCCGTTAACAACACCTGCAAGCAAATCCATAAGCTTCTTTTAACATCAAAATGAAAACTATAGTGCGAGAATCCATGTGCTTCTGTCAAATTTAAATGGAAGGTCCTCCATATACATACAAGTCAACAGAAATGACAACAGTCATATACAAGAAATAACTGATCGTGCAGCTATTCATGAATAAGGAGCATTTTTTGCAGATTTATGAAGAATATACTGGAAATGTAAGCATAAATATGTTCTAATTTTGACCACAAGCAACAACAATTTATGTTCTAATTTGCGCTTCATTAAAGATGAGGTGCCAAAAGTGAAATGTTTTAGGTGAGAGAATATCTAATTGTTTGTCTGACACCATATTGATAGTTCACCCTCACATACTAACTCAATGCACCAATCACACTTGCACAACAGAAATTTCTGTATACACGAGAGAAAAGGCCATCAAAGCTTCATGCAAAATGCCAGATGCTAACCAAAGTTGAGTAAAGATCGTTACCCTGACGATTTGGCAAAAGACCAGTGCTTTCAGCAGACACAGGCAAAACATTTAAAAGACCATTATCACTAGTCAACTCCCCTGCACCTGCCCCACTGTGCACTGGCCCAGTTTTCAGGGCTGAGGATTCAGCCAATCTTGCATAAGCAGTGGCTTGGCTGTGCAAATCACATGAATCTGAGACTTTCGCACCAGAAACCTAGAAAGACATAAGAGAGTTCAAAGGAGTGTGAACATAACAATCTCATAAATAAAGCATCAAAGGATAAGAAAAGGAAGATCACTCAGTAAAAACCTTGGAAATATTAGCTGTTGGTAAACTTTCTCCAGCTGTTTGTTCAGTATAAACCTTGGAAATTGTGGGGTTTGGTACATTCTCTGCATCTGCATTTTCAGGCATACCACTGGCTAAATCTCCCAAAAAACTAACAAGAATTAGAAACTCAGACAATCAAGAAGAAAGAATCATTAACTTGGAAACTTATGCGACAAGGTGATAAAAATACCATTATTAGTAGGCTGAGGGTCAAGATTATCCACTAGTCTCCGAGTTAATGGACCAGGATTCAAGACAGATATGCTTCGAATTTCATGACGTATAGCATCAAGTTGAGCCATTGTGTCTTGAAGTTCCTTGTGAACCTAAAGCACAAAAGCCAAGTAACTCAAAAGCACCCATCTTCAAAATAATAAAATACCACATTGAAAATCATCACATCACCTTTTTAACTGCCTAGAAAGTTGGCTTTTCTAGATATAACTTATTCTGCTCTTGAAAAACAAATGGTTGTTCTGTCTTATTAATCCAAAAATTTGCAGATTGTGTTTGCTTCTTATTGTTCAGGAAGTCTATGTTTCCTCAACCTTTCCAACTATTTTTTCCCCCTTTTTTCCCTGTTTTTTTATCAGAATTCCACTGCTTTTCTGTAGCTTTTAGGAATAGCCAAAATAATAGATAGCATATGAAACAGAGATATTTTCTTAATACATGTCTGTTAGAGAATCTGTCACGTAAATAATTACACAACTTCCCATTTATTTTTTTACAATTGAAACTTTTTGAAAGGGGAAAGAGGTACCTGGCGAGCTTGTGATTGCTGCATAACAGAGTCAAATTGGCCACGAGCCATCTGCACATACCCAATGGCTCGACCAGTCAATCTCCCTGCAGTTCTGGCTATTAATGGTAGATCCTTGGGTCCTGCATGTATCCGATATCAGAAAAGGCGAATCATTACACATCAATTGCGACCTTGTAAGCAAGTATGATGATAAATGCAGCTGAGATAGATGGAGATGTTTACCGATTAGTGCAGCAGTGGCCCCAAGCAAGAGAAAGAGTTCTCCATAAGAAATTCCAAACATTATAATCACAAGTGATTAGGGAATTTGGATAATTTAATCTAGGACACTCACGTTATCCTTTGTTTCACTCCAGCATCTGGCTCTGTTGAAAATGATTTTAATATTGTCAAGTATGAGCCTTCGCTACTGACAAATTGCTTATGCTGTCATTTGCAGATGTGGATGCCAATGTGTGAAATGATGTGAAGTCCACATCAGCAAGATAATTTAATTTACTTTTCACAAAATCAATTATAGGAAAAGGACTATGAAATTAAAAAAAGACAAAGGAAAGAAATCAAATATAAAGAAAGATCCTAGATCAAAATTCTTTGATTTGCTCTACCAGGTGAATCTTGTTCATGAAAAGTATTGCATTTTGAAATGGATTTTCAAAGTACAAGGCTGGACAGCGAAAGGTAGTTGTTTAAAAGACTAAGTTGAATAGAGAATAGGATGGAGCAAGATAAGGACAGGATACTTCAAAAATCATACATGAATGTGTCATGAAAAATGCTACTTAACTTTAACATGCTAGATTAATCCTAGATACATGGTAGAACCAGATTTCCAAGAATTTCCATTGCCAACAAAATCTAATTGTATATGAAAATTCAAGCAAGCCTTTTGCAAATTCAGGACACATTCAGCAACAAGAAAACAAAAATTTCAGTTTCTCTACCAAAACTTCCATGAATATAAGCATCATTAACACAAACACCACAGCAAGAAAACACTGAATATTGAAAAGAAAAAAGAACAAAAAAAATCAGAAAGGGGAGAGTGAAACCCTAGTGGTAGACAGATAACACTCACAACCCAGTTAAAGCTCTTCTTCAAGTGTTTTAGCTCTTGACGAACACCTTTCCTGTTCTTCAACAAAGTCAGAATTTTAGATTCCTGACATGGAAGCAGGGTTTCTTAGGAAGTGAAAGATTTCAAATTTAATACACTGACGCTGGAGTTTCGAGACTGAATCGGTCAAATTCCTAAATGGGCTGTGTGTGTTATAGTGTACTTTATTGCATAGCAAGATGGCGGTGCTTTTCGCCTAGAGGGCACAGAATTGCAGTGGTGGACGGGAGAGCTGATTAGGGATGGGTTGCAATGGAGAAAAAGATTTCTTGCATTTTTTTTTTCATTTCTTATTTTTTTCTGAAACCATCCGACAAATTATGTTGCTTTGCATTGAAACAGAATTGAAATAAGTAAAACCAGAAACAGAAATTGTAATGGATATTTCAGCCACGGAATCTTCTTTAACGATCAATCTCAAACTTGTTAGTTAAAAACGGTATTAAAAAATCAAATCCCTAAATACATTTAATTACCACAAGCTAACCTGTTATGATAAAAGGGACCCTAATTTCCAAATGGGCTGTAGCTGAAGCTCTGAGAGGTCATTGATCTAGGTTCCATAGTAAGATAACTCTTAATCCAGGTCTGATTTAATTTTGTTTGGTGAGGAAACGAGGGGGAGTAGGGTATCCGAGCCAGGATTTCTCACTATGTTAGTCTTTTCATGACAGTTTTGGGCATGGTTACCTGAACTCTAAAGTTTGCAATGGATTAAATAGGCGTTGTTTGGTATGTCTTTTAACTTGGACAACATGCATCTCCTAAGCCAGAGGTATTTTTTCTCGATATTTTTTTTAAATTAGCACTATTTAAAAACAAATGGCAAAATAACAAAGTTTGAAAAGGATTTGGTAAAATAGTAATCAACTTGTCCAAAGTACAACTAGAACAACACAATTCATGATCACTGGATGACATGCATTCTCAGGATGCAGTGATGTGCCACCTTAAATGTGAGGGCCTGATTAAGTCTGACATCTTTATACCATGAATGCTTTTGCATATAGCAACAAATAGAAGTTCAAACTCCAATAATTTCCCCCAGGAAGTCCTGAAATGGTTGATCTGTTTGCCTAATAAAAATAAGAAATAAAGATTCACATATCCAAATATATAAAACCAAATAATTTAAAATAATTCTTAATTCAGTTACAAGTCAAAAAGTTTCATGTGAAATTTTATAGTCATCAACAAATACATTGCTACCAAAGATTGTGCCTAGCCAAAGAAACCTACTTAACATAAAAGAAGAAATGTCACTATGTGAATGCCAAACCAATTCTTACTAACCAATAAGGAATTCATAGATAGAACCTATTTAGTGCATGTTTGGTATTGTTGTGCAGGATGCTTTTCAAAAGTGTTTTTCACTTGAACATGCATCAGAATTTTTTTTTCAGATTTGTTTTTTTTTTTAATTTTTGACATCAGTACATCAAAATCACCAAGAAAGCACTACAAAACATCAATGTAATGTTTTTTCAAGCTAAATGCATTTTTAAAACGCACTCAAACACAGTTTCAAACGCGATACCAAGTAGTCACTTACTTGTTTCACCTGAGCTAATATTATTTATTTTGCTGCCATGAATCAGACTCTTTCTGAGGCTCTTGACAAAGCCAGGATGAAATGACAACAAGACTATCAGGCATCTGAACTCTTTTCAAGATAGTTCATCTGGAGAGTGGAATTCTAAACATCATAATAGCACTTGAACCAACATCTTAAGCCCTTACAAAAGCTTAGGAAAAACAAAATCTTAGAGCATGAAATGATATGAACTTTTACTCAATGTCAAGGTTCACAAACTCGACTTTCAAAAGTGTGCTAAACTTTCTTAGCCTGTGCTAATGGGTGCTAGTACGCGAAAATACCCCCTTTTTTTTCTTTTCCTCTTTGCAGAGGCGTGCTTCTTGTTTTGTATTGTGCTAGAGCATCCACGTCCATGCTCTCTAAGAGGGTTCCTTAACTATAATAGCTAACAGGTTTGTTTTCACCTAGAGCATTGTTGCTCTTCAAGTAGCTCACGATTCAAGCTCCGTGAAGTCCTCGCTGTATATAGCGAGTACTGTATCACTCTTCAGATAGTATTATTGAATTTAATTAAGAATGTTGCTGGTATTGAGGAGTAAATCTTACCTGCTAAGTATTGCACAGGCTTGGAACTGGCCTAGCTGATGAGACAGCCGAATGAAGTGGAAGCAGAGATTGAATGTCACCCGGTTGAGGAACTGGCCTGAAATTCAAAATCCAACCGCCACAACTTAAAAGTTTTTCAAGTTTAAAGAGAACCCATTTCAGAAAAATAACCTAAATTGTAGTGCCCGACAGTCGAAATTTAAAATCTTGCTGATTTAAAGAGAACCCATTTCAGAAAATTTGAACTTCTTGAACAAAATTGAAAGGATGTTCTTAAAGGGATTGCTTACCTTGAAACTGTGCTAGGAGAGCGTTTAGGGAGAAAAGATGGTGTGGATTTGGGTTGAAGGCTGGGTTTGTTAGTGATGGATTTGAGAAGAGAAATTGGTTTAGAGAGAGGCCTGTAGCGAGATGACATTTTTTAGAAGGCAAGAGAAATGAAACGAGGTCGTCGGATTCAAGCGAGGCAAAGTGTGATGGGTTTTGAGATGATGTCTTGTTGAAGGGAGAAAAGGCCCGTTTGTAAAATATTTTATATTTTAAACTAATTTTTTATATTTTTATATTAATTTAAAACACTTAAAAATAATTTTATCACAATACCAAATACAAAATAAAATAATAATGCTAGCTAGTGAGATGTTTTGTGCTAGGCCATTATATTTTGTTCCGTTTAATCAAGATCTTTTAATAAAAACAATTGACCAAATTATTTCAATTTTTTTAATTAAAATCTCAGGATATCTATTTCATAAATCTAGTGTATAAATAAAGTATTTAACTCAGTATACAATTCCTATAAGAAACAAAAAATTATATAGTTGATTCGGGGAGGTTAGAGAGAAAATAATATTTTTTGTGGCATATGTTCATTAAGATGATATAAACGTTAAAATATGGCAACTGAGAGGATGTTCGACAAAATATTGTTGCTATAGCATTTTAATTAATTCAAAAAAATATATAAAATATTTATTCTACATTTTAAAAAATATAAATACAATAACATTTTTTTTAAAATCTAGCTAAAACACATCCAGGATCGAACCAAAACATAAAATTAAAAAGGGTTAAAATGCTGTGATTTATACAATATCTTATAAAAATACTAATAATAAACTTAAAAAAAACTGGAAAAAAATTTTCTTTGCAAGGGCTGGAATCCCTGCTAGCCTCCTCCTGGACACATCCCTAGCTATTTTAGCTAAGAAATAAGATGTATAGGTGTAAATTTTCCTACAAAACTAGGGAATGGTTGAAGTACTGTGATTATTTTTACATGAAGGATAGATCCTGACATAAAATCAGGTCGCTATATGTGTATAAGATAGCGGATTGATCCAGATTTATTGAATTTTAATAAAATAATGTTGTTTCGTTAACAAAAAAATATGTTATATTTTAATAAAAATTTGAAAAATACATGGTTGGATGAATCTCACTTGGATCATGAACTAATACGTAAAATCAATGAAGTTTTACTATATCAACTCTTCAAATAATTTAAAAGCAAATCTTACCAAAACTAGATTTTAAATCATCAACTCAAATAAATCATCAAGTTATTTGTTCAAATTCAATATCTATGTTAAAATGCATACCTTAGCACAAAACAGGAGAAAACAATAACCAACACTTGAGGTCGTGGTCCAAAGAAGAAGGAACTTGTTTTTTTTCTACATTTGAGTTTGATTTTTTTTATGTATACCTGTGACCTGTAGTGTTTTACTTATTCACTGATATTATAAAGTATTCAACAAATTTAAAAATTAATTATAATATATATATAAGCTGGTCTAGATATTTTAAATTATATACATAGAAAAAAAAAATCAATATGACCAATTCCCTTGGCTTTATTTGAGTTATTTTGTCACTGGCTTTCTCGAAAGCTAGATAAATGTAGATTCAAGCTGCAAGTATAAGACACTTTTATCAACTAATATTTTAGATGTATTAATATTAAATATAAAAAATTATTTTTAAAAACACTGTATCACACTTCACCGTAACTAATTGTTTCTTCCCTCTTTCTCAACTTAAAAACCGGACAAAACCAGTATCCTTTACTCGTCGTCAATCAGGATTTGGACAGGAGCTGATAAAAATCAAAGGTTTCCAATAACACAAGGCAAACAAGCAGCACTAGCACCCTGTATATCGAACAAAACCAAATCTTTATTCACTATCAAAAAGACACAACTAGTAAAGCCATATCACGGTACCTGGGCCCAGCACACACACCAAACATTTTTGTGTCAAAATAACCCTTTTGGTGTGCAGGGTGCAGTGGGTTTAATGGCTGCTGCTCTGAAATCAACTCCTTCCTTCCTCCAACTGAAAAAACCAGAGACCCATTTCCTCGTCCGTCACAAACCCATTATCATTTCAACCAGAAGGTTCGTGCCAATGGCTTCTCTCACTGCAATCCGAAGTCTCGGCATAGGAGAAACGTTCTCCAATCTCAAAAAACAAGGCAAAGTAAGCACCACCCCCCTAGTAAATCTTTGTTACATGTGGGTTTTGTTGTGCTAGTTGACGGGCTTTGATAGTTTTACACCTGACTTGTTTAATTTTCTTGACATGTTGAATGGGGTTTGACTTGGATATTGTTTGTGGTTTTGGCTATGGATTTTTTCTTTTTCTTTCTTACTGTACTTACTTTACTCTTCTATTAGTGGAGACAAAAGCTGAACAGAGGAGTCTCTGTGTGTTAATATCCATGTCGAGTCAGATATTTCTACTGGGTTCTCTGGTGGGTGCGTTATAAGTGAAGATGGGAGAAAAGAGGAGCTTAATTGTGTTAAATTGATAGTATTGAAAGATGGAAACAACTGTTTTTTTTTTTTTGGATGACATAGATTGGAATGGATTATTTGGGGGGTTGAGGCTGTGAGGAGGGGATTGGATTGAGAGTTTTGGTTTGGTAGGGGGAAGCGGGAGAAAGGAAATATTGTTAATATCTATGGTTTGATGAGCATGCTTGCTTGTGAAGGTGGCGCTCATCCCGTACATCACAGCTGGAGATCCTGATCTTAAAACCACAGCGGAAGCCTTGAAGGTGCTGGACGCCTGTGGATGTGACATAATTGAACTAGGTGTTCCTTACTCCGATCCCCTGGCAGATGGTCCGGTTATCCAGGTATGATATAATGTGGTTGCTGGTTGTATGAATCTCCATTTCAGTTTTCTTATTGGAATCTCTTGATTTAGGCGGCAGCTACACGCTCCTTGGCTAGAGGGACCAATTTTGAAGCTATCACATCAATGTTAAAGGAGGTAAGGCCATTATATTACAATGCTATCTTTCTACTGTGCTGACACCATGACAAAATCATTGGATTATTAATTACTGAAAAAATTTTTCTCATCATGCAATTCCTTATGTTACGCTATTGATTGCCAAGATTGCAATTAAGATAGTTTACCTGGAAACACTAGTTCATCGTAGCATTTTGTACTCGGGCACATGCTCATAGGTAAGTGAAGAAGTGCCTGTCCATATGACAAGCATACAGTATCCTGGTTTACAGCTTTGTTGTCAGTTTCTTTTCTTATTTGAATTTCCTTATATTAATTCAACTGTTGACTGCACAGGTAATTCCACAAGTATCCTGTCCAATTGCTTTATTTACATATTACAATCCAATTCTAAAGCGTGGAATTGAGAAGTTTATGTCCACTGTAAAAGACATTGGCGTACATGGTAAATGACAGGTTTATTTTGCAGCACCCGACTGCCTATTTTAATGTTTTATATCATGCCGAATGATGTGGGAAATGGGGATCACTGTCTGCATCTCCAGTTATTTTTCTGTGAATTCTGGGTGTCATAAGGCATGACCATATGTTTAACCTTATATTGGTTTTGCAGGACTTGTGGTCCCAGATGTTCCTCTGGAGGAGACTGGAGTTCTGAGGAAGGAAGCTGTCAAGAATAAGCTTGAACTGGTCTGTTACCTAATCATATTTCTGGATGATGCATTCCATTTTGTCTATTCACATTGATTAGCATATCCCTTTTGGAGTAAAAATAAATAAATCATTTCCTTATGCTTTGCCAAAAATCAGTTCACTGTAGAGTTTGGTGGAAATATTATAAAAATGAAATGGACCCTGTCTTTTTATTTTTATTTTTGGCACATCATTTAATCGTGATGTATTATAGATCTAAACCAGCACCTTTACCTCATCATTATATTGACGGTGTCTGCTGGCTTTCATAAAAAAATTATTTTTGGTTGAATGGTAATTGAAGAAGGGCACCTTTTGGTTGTGTGCTTTGGTTGAATTGCTGAGCTTCTTGGGTAGTGAATCATGAAAGATACACAGCTATCATGCATTCACCGTGTCTTATGTACGTACCTTGGTGATGCACAGGTACTTCTTACAACGCCCACTACTCCCACAGAACGCATGAAAGCCATTGTTGAAGCAGCAGATGGATTTGTGTATCTTGTAAGAGCATTTTAGAAGTTGATTATGATGAAAGATTAATCATAGTTAGGTTCTTATATGAACAAAGATGAGGTACTCCATGGTTTGCTATCTTTTGTGACCTCCCCATTTCTTCTGGAATTATAGGTGAGCTCAGTTGGAGTTACTGGCGCTCGTGCTTCTGTAAGTGACCGAGTTCAAACTCTTCTCCGGGATATTAAAGAGGTTTGTCTTTACAGTTAGATTTCATTCACAGGGCACTCTCTTGATTGGTGGCATTTTGGAAATTAGTGTCTCCTTCACGAAAATTCAGGATGTATTTTAGGAAATGGTATCGCATATCCATCATTTCTGATTTCTTTTTATGACAGTCAACAACCAAGCCTGTAGCTGTTGGCTTTGGTATATCAAAACCTGAGCATGTCAAGCAGGTTAGTCATCAACATAATGTAACTTGATGCCTATAGATTGCCTCTGCATTAGTTTGGATTTATTACTGAAGTTTTATGGCAGGTTGCGGCATGGGGTGCTGATGGTGTCATTGTTGGTAGTGCCATGGTGAAGTTGTTGGGTGAAGCAAAATCTCCCGAGGAAGGATTGAAGGAACTGGAGAGTTTCACGAAATCTTTAAAAGCTGCACTTCCTTGAACTCAATTTTGTGGGATCAAATGAAAGCTTGAAACTCTTATTTTCAACAGCAATATATGCATTGAAATTGAATAAAAACGAATCTTGTTTACCAGCTTGAATGTTGCCAGTGTCTTTAACAACTCGAGCACTTGATAAAACTACAAGTTGCTGCTCTAGTTCTGTTAATTTGATGGAAAATCCATGAGTTTTTCTGTCTAGTGTTTAGATGGTCTGCTTTAGCTTTCTTCCAGCTGCCTTCCCATCAAACTCAACGAGTTTAATGAACTTTAACAAAAAATTCCTAAGCACCATTTATCTTTCATTTTGTTTTTCTGGGGCGGGGATGACAATGGCCACTATTGATAGAAAATCTAGTTACAATCTGAGAACATTTCATTCGACATCTGGTTTATTCAAATAATTTTCATGCCAAGGTAAAATAACGTTAGTATGTCGAGGCGCAGATTTGATTTCCCCACATAATATTGATCTGCATTTCGTCTTTTTTTTCCTGGCATAAGCGTATCTATGCAGGCAGACAGAAGGGGTCTTAAAAGGGGGAAGCATCCACCTTCATCCCATGAAATCCATCTTTTGGATGAAAGCTGATCAATTCATAGCATCACAAAAACATTCAGCTTCCTCGCATGAATTCTATCCTTTGGATGAAAGTTAATTGATTCATATCATCGCTAAATAGTCAAGTCCTCGGTTGATGAGGACAGAGAAAAAGTTTTGCAATCAAATGACCAGCAGAATTTTCATGACTAGTTTATCGAGTCAGGATTCCCCAACCAAGCGAAGCTTCTTTACGTACAGCCAAAGTTTTTGACACAAATTTTGGGGCCTTGTCTTAATAAAGATGGCTCCCTCCAACCCCATTGTGAGCCTGAGGGAGCGAACATTAAACAACGCTTTCAACTAATTAGCATAATCAAAGTTGTTCCATGACACTCCTGAGAATGACTTATTCCAAGAATTCAATCAAAACACACCCCCTTGCAATTACAGTGACATGATCAAGACAGGAAGAGAAGCTGCTTCAGCAAGTAGTGAACGAGAGCAATTCCACGATATACAGCTGAGGGAGGGGGGTTGAGCGCTGAACAACAAATGAGCTGAAGCTTCTTATCTCTGCTTAACGCCTTCCAGATGCCACTGATTCAGAAGAAAACTTCACTCTTGAAAGAACCGAGTCTTGCGTCGGATCATAAGGATGGTATTTGGAAGGAATCTCCAAAATTGCTAGAACTGGCTTTTTGGGGGTATCGACCAAAAGTCTTATCATGTTTGCAACCTGAAAATCAGAGGATGAAAAAAATACTTCTTAAATAAGAATTCCAAAGCAAATCAAGTGAAACGGAAAAAAGTGCTCATTCTAATATCCGTATTGTTTGTGCAAGTAAGAGAAACTCCCAGAGATTGATCGAATAACTAATTCAACGAGGTGGAGAACAAGCAGTGACATTGAGAGGCAGACAGATTTGATGATCGAAAGTCCTAATATTCCACACCCAAATAATCCCTGCAGTTTATATGACTTTTTAAGATGATGCTCCCACGGACTGAGGATGAGCATCAGAGCAACTAAGCACCCTTCAAGACCAATGCGGCGGTCTTTTCTGGTGTCTCTAGAATTGTCTCCATGGCGACTTATATGGAAGGTGGCCTATGTCATCTTCTAGGTTTCGGTGAAGCTCTCTTTCTCCCTTCTCCCCTTGATTTTCCCGCTATATTTTGTTTTATGATATGTAAAGGGATGTGTTTATTTCTAAAATCCAACTTTGCTCCCTCCAGATATCATCATTTGAAGAGCAAAAGTTTCAAAGAGTCTTTTGCATAATTAAGCACTAACTAAATACATAATGTTTTTTTCACCCCGTAAAAAACACAAGAGAGCTTATAAACAAACTGTCAATGTCACAGTCAAATAAAACGTCAAGGATCAAATCCAAATATTAAAAACAAAACAATTGGAAAAAAAAATTAAAAAAATTGCAGTGCACGAATTCACCGTGCAATCGTGTTTGTGTTTGTGTTTGTGCTCGCAGTATAAAAAATAGTAGAATGCCTAGGTTTTTTTTTTTTTTTGGTTAATAGACGATTGTATATATAAGCCCCGTGCGTGTATTTATATATGTATGTATGTAGATGCATATATCTATGCTTACACATCACCCTTGGGGACCTCACGTAAACAAAATCGATAATTAGGTCTCATTTGTCACCCTCTTAACAAATACCAAACCAAGGTACGGATTCCCTATAATGTTGGAACTCGGAGTGAAAAGGGGTATGCTAAGCTCCTTGCTTCGCCGCTTTTCAGTGGATATAATGGGGGCTATGGACGGAATTGTATTTAAAAAAAAATATTTTTTATTTAAATATATGTTTTATATCTTTTTAAAAAATAAAAAAATATATTATATTAATATATTGGTATTTTTCATTTCAAGCATAGTTTGAAAAAACTCTTGGCAAACTAGCACTGATCAAAATCTTATTTAGAAAATAGCGTAGCTCGGTGCAAATATAAAATAAAATAAAAATATCCATTACATTAGGTTGGGAAGATCCACAGTACCATCCAAATACATGCGATAGAAACATTAATCAATCCTCTTCTCCACTTTCCGTTACGTGGCGGTACACAATTATATTATCTGAAAGAGAAGATGTTTAAAATGATTATATTAGAATAATTTAAAAATATTATAAAAATTAATTTGAAATTAAAAAAAATCAAATTCTAACCTTAATTCCAACCTGGGTCATCATTGTCGCAAAAAGCACGTGATGATTTCCTTCCTTATTCCGCCATTACCAAACCCCAACGACTACGCAAACGAGAGAAAATTAAAATAAAACAAATTCACGCACTAAAAAAATCTTCAAACAGAGTCAGCCAACAGAAGAAACAGACAAAGAATGAATAGTGTCTTCTCAGTAGACGATTTCTCTGACCCGTTCTGGCTGTCTCCTCCTCCTCCTCCTCCTCCTCCGCCATCATCAACGGATCCGAAGATGAATAGAAGCGAATCGGAATGGGCCTTTGAGAATTTTCTTCAAGAAATGGCTTCCGTACCGTCCTCCGCCAGCGAAACCCAGACCGCCGCTCCTTCGGTGCTTTCTCAATCGTCGACGTCATCGATACCTCCTGACAATGGCGAGGATGAAGTTGTAGAGATCACAAAACATCCAATTCACCACCACCACCACCAAATTCCTAACCCACATCCGCAACCGCTGGATCGCAATCTAACGGCACCGGTTGATTCCGAGGAGTACCGTGCTCTTCTCAAGTCGAAGCTCGAGCTCGCTTGTGCTGCCGTGGCCATGTCTATGGTATAATATACGCGTACTGATTGAATTGTGAGTGCATGCATCACATGTGTTTGATTATGGATTTCTTTGAATAAATGCAGGAAACCAATGCTGTAAAGCCGGAAGTTTTTTCTTCGTTACCTGAAGATCAAAGGCTAGCTGCAAGAAATATGTCGTTGGGAACACAATCTTTTCACAATGGTTTTGCCTGCTTTCTGAATAGTTGAATGTTTTTGCTGATTGCATTTATGTATATAACTGGTAGTAATATTGTCTCAAAGATCATGTTTTTAATCTAGATTGAACGCTATGTGAAAGCCTCCTACTGATTCCAATAGATTGTGATATGTTTGGTGGGTGAGAAATTGTTTGCGCTATTTGAATGGAAATGGGGACTAGCTAGTCATGTTTCCTTGCACTTGAAATGCACTTTTCACCTTGCAATCTACATAAGTTCTAAAACTAGGATAGAACACGCTTTATCTTGAATCCACTGAAACCCCTGATTTGTACAGGTTACATGCATCAGCTAAGTTGATCGAAGTTGCACCATGCATCTCTAGCACTCTCACTCTTGTCTTTTATCGTTATTTCCCCCCTTGTATTCTTAACTGTTTGTCACCTCATTATCACAAAGTCTTATATAAGAGACTGTTGTTTGTGTGCTCTCATCTGATGCAAGATAAGCGTTATAATCAGTACAAATATGTGCATTACTTTCACAGTGATTTTCATGCTTTAGTTTTCCTTGCCCCTCTCCAAAATTTGGGCTGCATATAATACTGCCAATTGTAGGTACTGATCAAGGCATTTCAATGGCACAAATCGGGGCAAATGGTGTATCACTCGGCATTCCAGCTTTACCTACTACACAGAGAAAATCAGATGGTGAATCACTAGGCATTCCAGCTTTACCTACGACACAGAGAAAACAAGAGGTTCAAGCCAGGCAAACAACCAGTGGATCATCGAGAGAAGACTCGGATGATGATGACCTTGAAGGAGACACAGGAACCAATGAAAATATGGATCCTGCTGATTTGAAGCGTGTGAGGAGGTATCTTATTTATTAACATTCATGCTTAGTGTAAGAGGTTCTAAATACAATTTAGAAACTTTGTACTCTTTGTTTTCTTTACTCATACGCCTCCCATTTTTCCTCTTATTAGGAATTTATACAGGTAATGTTATTTTGAGGAATTCACATGTTAGTGCTCGTCTTATTGGTCAATAAATCAAGCATTGTTTTAGGATGGGAGAGGAGCATTTTTCAGTGGTTTCTAATTAAATCAGATACAGCCTTACTAAACCTGACTTAACTGTCTCCGAGTTTTGGGATAAACAGATTCTTACTAGATGCAAGTATATATCTTATTATTGTGTTAAAAAGGAAGAACCTTTCACCAATCACTGTGTTGATATCTTGACAATGACTCAGGATGCAGTCGAATCGAGAGTCAGCTAGACGCTCTAGAAGAAGAAAACAAGCACAGCTGAATGAACTTGAAACTCAGGTTGCCCATTGCTTTTCTGTAGCACTCGTGCCTTTTAGATCATGGTTCTTTAATAAGCTCTGATTCTATCTACATTGCATTCAATAGGTTGGTCAACTAAGGGATGAACGCACTTCACTGCTATCACGCTTCACTGATGTAAATCAAAAATGTGATGATGCTGCTGTTGACAATAGAATTTTGAAGGCTGATATTGAAACATTAAGGGCAAAGGTAAGTCATTGCACTTCACCTATTTTAATTCTGTTTGTTGCTTTGAGGGTTCCTTTGGTTGTTTGAAATTGTCTAGCAATTACTTTATGACTCCATGCTTTAAGATCATGATGTTAGAGAAAACAAATCCTTGTAAAATCATCAAATATGCTTCATAGATGTCTCCCTGAAACTAATTCTGTCTTGTGGGTACATGCACATACTTTTGTGTTTACATCACATCTTGGAAACTTCTGTCTCCATACAGAGCACACAAAAAAGTAACTTTGCATGTGTGGAGTGACAAACCATGTCAGGCAAAACTTCTGGTCAGAGTACATCCTGCTAAATAGTATAATAGTCACAGCAACAGTTTTTACATAGTCGGAATGACACTAATTTGAAACTTAAAAAGTGCTTCGCAGGTGCTTGAGCTGATGTAATCTACTGTGTTGAATTTTTTTTACATATGAACCTTTCAGGTCAAGATGGCCGAAGAACAAGTGAAACGAGTGACAGGTTTGAACCCAGTGCTTCTAGCAAGGTCTAGCATGCCGAGCCCTGGGATGCCATTTGTTGGTGGCCAAGTGGATGCTTCTACCAATGTTGCTGTCCCAATGCAAACAAACCCCCACCAATTCTTTCACCAGCCAGTTCAAGGTATTACCCCTGCTCCTCCACATCTCCAAAGACTAAACAACAGCTTCCTAAACAGCACCTTAGTTCCGCTTGGCACAAATCCACAAACTGACAATGGAAACAGTAATGATGGTGGAATGGCTGTCATGCCTTCCATGCAACTCACTGCTGATGGGCAAAGTTTGCCTGCCATGCCTTCCATGCCTTCAATGCCTTCTATGCAACAGGTGCAGAAGCAGATTGGTCCAACTGTTAGTCCTGCTGGGACCTTGCCTGCATGTGACTCAGGACTTCCTCACGTGGTTGCCAAGGATGTCAAAAAGAAATGAATCGGATGCTTCTTCCATTCTGGTTTTTGGAACCAGGGATTGTAAAGTTCGTCTCTGGGTACAACTGTCGGTTCATATAATTCTATGACTTTCAACACATACAGGGTCCTTCTTTTTAATGGTTTATAAATAAGCCTTTTTAGCTGGTAGATCATCTTGACTTATTTTTTTCATGTAGACGTGGGTCGTGTTAATGCAACCCAAGTTATCAATGGAAGGCTTGTGATTATCCCCATTCAAGGTGCTGATATAAGAAGTTACATTTTTCATGCCTTTTCAAACGCGACAAAGAGAAATCAAGCCAGCTTAAGAGTTGCTTAGCTAATTTGATCCCACCGCCAAGGGAATTCTTTCACATAGACTTGCTGGGCTGATTACTGGAAAGTGCTGACCCTAGTGACTGATTCTTTCACATAAACCTTCTCTACCAGGAGCAGAGTAGAGTTAAGCGATTATCCTTGTACTCCAAATTTAATTTCCCAGGTTCACCTGATATAGAGCTGGATTCAAGCTACATTGTTAGGAGATCTCACCAGCATTGGCTTCGTAACGGAGCAGCGGAGTTTCTGGGTTATAAAAAGGTCACCTTCCTGGTAGAATCAATAAGATGATACGGAAGACTAACGGAAAAAATACAGCCATCACCATCCATCATTGAAAAACAGTAGGAACGTTAAAAATTGACGGCTGGCTAGCCACAATGAACTATCAAAAGCCCCACCATTAATGGAAGTACACATCAGATAATCTTGGTTAATCCACCAAAGGTAGTCCTACTCTTCCAAATTTCCTCAGACGATACGGTAAAACTTGGTGGCGATTTGAGAAGGGAATCAAAATTTTCCAGCATTGACAGATAGATTTGATCCATTTGATCGAAGTATAAATTGTACATGCAGGTAATGGAAGAGTAGATTTAGGAAAAGAAAAAAAGAAATGAGTGAACTAAATTCTAGCCTGGTTCGTATAAAGACATGCACTATGCTGAGGATACATAAATAACCCACACAAGGGTTCTCTTTGCAATCTAGGCAATGCTTAGGCTGAATTTAGTGACTGTCGATCTCCTCATGATTGCAGTATGTAAATCCACGGGACACACATCATGGCAAAATTTTTGACTGGATGCCTGATTGGACTTTGCTTTGGAAATGGGCTTCTAGCCTGCATAATGGACATGAATATAATCAAGGTGGCGCCATGAATTTGGGAGGGGGGGGATGAAACAAAGAGCACTAGTATATGAACATGCCTGGTTGCACATTTGTAATAAATGGTATCAGGTGTGTTGTATGTCCGTGCATTGGCACACATCCTCTTGACATCAGCAATGAACATCTCGAGTGTTACATAATATTGCTCTGACTCTACCCTCTTCAACATTGTCTTCAGATCTGCAGCAAATTGGAAGAATTATAGATGACATCTAATTGAAACAAGTCAATTTTTTATGTGAAATTCTCAATAAGAAAAGGTCATAATAATTCTCAATAAGAACATGTAATCCCATTTGTACAAGTAATTTTTTTGTGAGAAATTCTCAATAAGAACAAGTAGGAACAAGATATTGTTTTTTAACGCCAAATCATGCAGTAAATTCCAAAAGCAGAGATTCAAACAACTTTAACCAATTATCTGATGTTGTCAAAATGCTAGAAGCAGAGTTATACTTTCCATATTCCTCAACTTGTGTAACAGCAACAGACACCGAAATGAGATTTCAACTGATCTACAAACTTTAACAAAAAATATTATAGTTTTCAATTTTCTTGGTAACTTAGTTTCAAGACAGCTGAAACTTTAAAAACTTTGGACAGTTATGACCTATGTTTCCAGAGAAGATTGATAGCATACAAAATATGAGGGGCCTGGACATGTCTCATTTTAACAGCATATAAGCTTGTCAATTAGGAAATCATTGCAAGAAATTTGATATCTTACCCATGGGATCCTTGATGATGTCATAATAATCAGGGACATCACAAGCATCAACTGGTTCCTTGAATGGCCAAGCATCAACATGGTCATGCATGGACTGCTAATACAAATTCCATAAAATCAAAATCACATAAGCAGGCCAATCACTGTTCTAAAGATTTTTAAACATTAAGTAGAACAGAAAGGAGAACGCATAAACAAGAGCAAAAGGTGTTGCAAATCCAACGCATAAAGGATTATGAATGTGAGTGCCCAAAGAATACCAACAATGGTAGAAAAATCACTTTTTTGCACAGATTTACAATTGAAAGTAAATAGAAGAACCAAGTACATCATTAAGAAGAGAAACTGTTAATTTATCTTCTCTTCAGTAATATGCTTGTTAGGTCTTATACAACAAAAGCAGCATTACACTTTCCCAGACCACGGGATCTTTATGTTGTAGACAAGATTCTATCAAATTTTGATATCTCTAGCTAGATGAAGAAGAAGTTGGCTGTTCCATTGTTAATCATTTTCTTACTTTTAGATAGTAAGACGATGACAACATAAAAAGCATGGATATTTGCCACAGTAATGCATCAACAACCTTCACATTTGGCTGTCCTTTCAAACTCAATTAAAAAAATCAACTTCAGAAAACAGGCATCCAAACAGACACATATTCTTGACAGCAGGATGTCAAAGTTTCATTAGGGGCAATTTCAACCACAAGCATTTCCCATGCAAACCATGTCGTGGCAACACTATGCTATTACTTTTGCAAAATATGGCAACCACAAAAGATTTCTGTAAGTAGCATGGCTGGCTGCCATTTGTGACAGGATATGCAATTTTCTCTTAACCCCTGTGAGCAAAAAAAAGATAAAGAAAAGTAATATATCTTGGGACTTGCCTTCAAAAGTGAGCGCATAAATGCAGTCAAATGTTTTTGATTTGTGCCACTATCCTTAGAAGAGTTTAACGTTTTGAACCGTGAATGGCCCCATTGATCAGGAGCCCACCCTGCCTCCCCTATTATCATCACATTCATAACAAATCTCATTATAAATATTCCAAACTTCCAATTATATCATATAATTCCCAAAAGGTATGTACCATGTGTGGCAAAAGACTGGAAGAAGTTGAAATAAAGTCAACATGACAAATTTAAAAACTTACTCAAGCCAGGAATGTCCTCAATTTTGATGATCTTCTTGGGAATACCAGCTTCTTTCTGAACAAAACCGAGAACACCATATAATCTTAATCCAATGAACAACATAGCACTAAACCATACTGCTAGATAGAGAATGCATGCAATCTAGAAAAGGAAACTACCAAGTAGTATAATTGATGACAGGTCTAAGAACCATCAGATTGCTGATGACACATACCTTTTGAAAATCAATTCCAGGATAGACAATGTGGCAGTTGGATAGCTCTCGTATCTTTTCATCAATTGCCTATCATCATCAGAAAACAAGATTAACGCATATCTACGTAGAAATCTACTAAGGTTAGGTGTCTGAAAGTGCAGGAAGAATCTTCAGATAAAAAATTCTGAAGTCATGCACTGAAACAAGTCTTAGTAATACATGTGGAGTATAGTTGTAATTTAGAAGTTCCAGGACAGGCTGGCAGCACAGCAAGTCTGACAGGAAGCTAACAGGTGGGAAAGGTACATTATAATAAACAGTTACTATTGGTGTTCCTGTCAATGAGTTCTATATTACAGAACCTCCTTTATTACAAAACCTCCTGAAAGACACTGGTGTATGTATAGGAAAAATCCAAGTTTCCAGAATAGGCAACACAACTATGATACACCCCCAACTCATTAGTCTATAATTTATTTTCACTCAACAACTCAAGAAGCAAGTGATATGAAAACAAGCCCTATTTCCCAAGGGCAGGTGATAGAATTAATCCAAATTAAGAAGTAAAGAGCACATGATTATAATATAACAAAAAACCTATAAGGATCAATGAAAATGGAAGCAAAAAATGGGATTATTTACAATAAAAAATATTGAAATGGTCTATCAATTGAATTAGTGCATCAGCTCAGAAGCCTTGTGTAGCCTTCTTCCTTTTTTTGGGTCCAGAAATCGACTGGTGATCTCAATCCAATGATTCAATTTTAGATGTCAAATCGAGTAACTTACGTCTTAAATATAAAGTTTTGGAATGAATTATAGAAAATGATGAAGCTTCTGAATGGGAGCCAACAGGTTGAGCTTGCTTCCTTTAAAAATTACACTTTCACTGATGAAAGAAAGCCCAACAAGCTGAGCATTTAGAAAAGGAAGACATACTGCTAAAATGGATTGTTTGACCTTTATCTTGATTCATGTTCCAGACACTGACATTTAAATATTATGATCTAACTGCATTACAAAAGGAAAACATTGACTAAGTAGAATATCATCCCACCTGTCTCTGACGACGGATCATGGTTGATAAATCAGTGTAAGGAAGTTTTTGATCAATTCTGCACTCCATTAAGATACCTCCATCATAGTCTTTAATATACCTGGAATTCACACAAATTCATAAATGAACTAAGAAATGGAGGCACAGCAATAGCTAAATGAATGAGATACACCCAACAAGGCTAACAAAGGGGGGATAACGAGCAAGTGTGATAAGCTTGCAGTTATCTTCCTTCATAACAAACACCCTTTCCCCCAAACTCCAATTTCAATATATAAAATAGAAAACAGAACTGTACTTGAAACCCTTCCTTTCTCCTATACCCCACCCTTCAATTATCTTAATAACACTGGAGCTTGTAAATTAACAATACCCATGCCATCGATCTTTCTCCAAGTAAATCTCTTTCGTGAAACCCTACATGTTAATAAAATAACACAACATTAAGAAACAAAACAATATATTTCAGAAGGATATAGCAATGTAACTATCAGAAATACATCTAAGCAAAATGTATAAAGATCATCAAGAACAAGATTGACCCACAATTATTGCACAGCCATTCCATGGATCACCGTCAACAGTAATATAGTAACATTTAACAGATAAAAAGGTCAGGAAAACAATGAACTGTGCAAGTTACGGAACTCAAGAGAAAGACCACATCATCTAATAATCTTTCAGATCCATTGAAGATGAAGGTTTAACTGGAAATCAGCTACTATGGAAATCAGCTACTATCTAAACAGTAGCAGCAGATCTTCCATAGAGACAAACTGGCAGAATACCAATAGAAGAAAGACCTCTAAAGGATATCACACAAGCAGTATTTGTTACTAATCACACCTTTCAACTTTCTTAACAATACTGTTAAAGCATTACATCTTATAAAAAATCTAGCACATCTTACAGATCA